GCATCGGCAGTGCAACCAGTGGCCCCCTCAGCGGGTCCTCTCTTGCTCGCCCGTCCACCTCCATCTCCGGCAGCAGGTTGGACGACAACATTATTGGCAGCACTGGGGGGCAGGAGGTGGTGAGCCTGGAAAGGAGACGGGAAGGACTAGAGACACGAAGGGAGAAGGAGGGAAGTGAAAGGGAGCGATGAGTTGATGGGAAGGGTTGGAAGGGAATGACAGGAAGGGAAGGGCTGGAATGTGGCAACTGACCTCGTGAGAGAAGCCCCGGTTTTAATCGTGCGCCGCTAGGTATGCACGAGCCTCCCCGCGCTCGCCCTCACTCGCACTCGCAGCAGCGGAGTGGCTCTGACTAAAAAGGCACGAGACGGGAGGCGGGCGAGGGAACGGTGAGGAAGTCGGAACACACGGCGGGAAGTGGAGGAAAGGGCAGGGAAGGGGAGGGAAGGGCAGGGAGCAGGGAAAGGGGGGGATTGAGTTTGAAGGGGAGGAAATGGCAGGGAAGGCATGAGAAAATCAACCATTGAAATTCAAAGGTAGGGAAAAGGAAATGAAGTTGTTCGAGGGGAAAAGAGGCAATGAGGGTTGAGAGTGGGAATGGAAAGCAGGGGCTTATGAGGAAGAGTGCGTGGGGAGTGTAAGATGGCGGGCGGACCTTGTGATGAGGCCCGCAGGCGCGCGCGGAGTGAGCAGGGGGATGAGGGAGGGCATAGGGAAAGGGACTAAACAGGGGAGAAGAGGGTGAGCAAGGGGAAACAGAATGAGCAAGGGGGAAGAGAGTGAGCAGGGGGGAACAGAGTGAAGGGAACAGGGGATCCAGGGTATAGAGAAGGCGGCGGGGCGGGAAGCCAGGGCGTCCATGTGGGAGGCGTTTTGGGTGGTAAACGCTCTCGTATAGCTCGTTTGTGTTGTGCTGACGGTGATACATTCAGACCCCAATAAACCACTAAGGGTATTGCCCTTTGTGATTCGAAAACGGAGGGGGGTACAAACAAGCATATACGAGCGTTTGTTCAGCTACAGTGTCGGAGAGTAATTTCCGGTTGATCAGGTTTGTGTGGTAGTAAACGATCGGTTACGAGTGGGGTAGTTTAGATCGGTTACAAGTGGGGTAGTTTAGAATCGTTAACGAGCAGTGGGGTTAACTACAATTTACACCGCCCTACATATATGGCGAGGTGGTGGGCATAATCGCTTGCAAACGACCGCTTGTGATCGTGCCAAGTTTCGAGCGCGATTAGGGGCGAATTGCGCGAGTTACCAGTTCGCGACCTTTAACGAAAGTATGTAACCGCACCAAGTTACACTAGTACACTTCAGAACTATCATTTGATTTGTATACATTATTCTTCATTGTTATTCTGTAACCAGGTAACACAAACGGGCAAATGAAAATAACCGCTGGTTCTAAATAAATGTAGTAATAGTAACAATAATAACAACAATAACAGCAAAATTATTATTATTATTAATATTTCTGCTCATTCCCCAGATTTCTCTTTATTTCTTTGTAACTTGCAGGTTACCCGAATTACATATCAGCGAGATCTCAGAAGAACTAGGCAAGAATGAATGAACTAGCAGAAGTTTGGGTACAAATATGAAACCCTAGTTGGGGTTGTACCCCATATTGGCTACCCCACTACAGCCTACAAGCATAATACAGTTTAACACACCCCCATAGGCAAAGTGGGGGAGAACAAAGGGTCACAAGACCAGTCCAGCAAAGCAAAGCAAAGCCCAGGGTGGATCACAACGTCACCACACTCCGAGCACAAGTAAAGGCCACAAGGCCAGTTCACATGCAGTGCTAGATATAGTACAAGACAAGCAACACAGTGATCAAAACCTAGCAAACAAGCAACAAGATATATATAAAGTACAGTACAAAGAATGTCAAGCAGTGAGCAAGTGAGGAAATGTGGACACAAGGCCTAAAGAAGTACAGTGCCGCTGATGATCACTAGGCGGGAGCGCCTTGGTGAAGATATCAGCAGTGTTGGCCTTCGAGTCCACGTACACAAGCCGAAGCTGACCGCGCTGCTGAAGCTCTCGAGCAAGAAAGTAGCGAAGAGCAATGTGCTTCGTCCTGTGCTCCAGTCTGTGCTCCTGACACAAGGCAAGAGCCGCCTTGTTGTCACCGTACAGAACTGGAGGAGAACTAGGCCGCTCTCCCAAGTCAGTCAGCAGGTAGGTGAGCCAGCGTAACTCCTGTGCAGCCATGGCTGTGGCGTAGATCTCAGCCTCACAACTAGAGCCGAGAACAGAGGAAGAGCGGGTGGACCGCCACGAGACAGAACCAGAGCCAAGGCTGAAGGTGTAACCCTGTGACGACCGCTGCGTAGCCAGGTCGTCCACCCAAGAAGCGTCCGAGTGACCAGTGAGGACAACTCTGTCGCGTCCTCCAAGCACCAGCCCCATGCCTGATGTACTGCACAAGTAACGCAGCACCCTCTTAGCAGCCTCCCAGTGCTCTCGCCTGTGTCTCCCAGGCGCAACGTAACGAGCAAGGATGCTAAGAGGGTACGCGAGGTCAGGTCGCGTGCAGGTCATCAGGTACATGAGGCAGCCTACAAGCTCTGGGTACGGGCCACTCGGCTCTACGGACTCGTCCGAAGGTGGAGCTGAGAGCGAGTGGCTGGTAGCCAGAGGTGTGGCCTGTGGTGAGGAGAACTGGAAGCCGAAGCGCTGAAGGACCTGCTGCACCATGTGTGACTGAGTCAGGGTGATGGTGCGGCGAGCTCTGTCCCGGGTGATCTGCAAGCCAAGGTAGCTACGCAGTTCACCCAGGTCAGTGCAGGTGTGTCTCTTCTGCAGCTCCGACTTCACACGAGCGAGTGCCTCAGTGTCAGCAGTAGCAAAGACCAAGTCGTCGACGTACACGAGAATGTAGAACGGCGGCAGCGACGTGTCTGTGCGCAGAAACAGCGACGGGTCAGCAGTAGACGGCGCGAACCCAAGAGCCGCAAGTGTAGTCCTCAGTGTGTCGTGCCACTCACGTGGCGCCTGGCGGAGACCGTAGACTGGCCGGCGGAGGCTCCACTGGGTACCAAGGGGAAACGACCCAGTAAAGCCAGGTGGGCGGCGCAGCCAGATCTCCTCATGCAGGCTGCCCTGCAGGAACGCTGTGCTGAAGTCAAGAGAGTGAAGCTCGTAGTCACGCTGAGCAGCAACATGCAGCAGAACCCGAAGAGTGGTCATCTTCGGGGTGGGGGAGAAGGTCTGGAAGAAGTCGACCCCCTGACGCTGACTGAAGCCTCTAGCAACGTAACGAGCCTTGAAGACAGGCGGAGAACCTGGCGGCCGCTTCACCCTGAAAATCCACATGCCATCGACGATGTTCGCCCCAGGAGGGGGAACCTCGTCGACGTAGGTGCCTGTGGACTTCCAGGATGCCATCTCTGCGTCCATGGCTGTCTGCCACTGAGAGGAGTAGGGACCCGAGATCGCCTCTGCGTAAGTGCGCGGAGTGGGGATGTCTAGTGCATCCGGGTCTCCCTCAGGGGCAAGCAACCAGGCCACGAGATGAGGTACAGCAGCCGCAAGAGAGTCAAAGTCCTCCTGCCTGTCCTCAAGGACGTCCGTGCCAAGAGCACACTCACCCCCGACGGACGGAGGACAGACAGACGCAGACTCTGACGCAGCAACAAGGCTAGCAGCGTAGTCTAGACGACAGGCAGCAGCAAAGTCAACCAACTCAGCGACCAGAGCAGACGCAGCCGAGGACTCAAAGGTAGGGTCAGTGACAACAGTAGCTAGGAGACGCGTGACTGTAGGGTGCTCAGCGCGATACCGGTCAGACTCAGGGTCCGGAACGGCAGGCAAAGAGGACTCAGGAGGAGACGGTAGAGGGACACGCCGAGGAGCAGTAGAGGGACGCAGAGTCATGTAGTGAGTGCCTGGGACAGGAGGAGGACGCTCACGACGGACACGACTACCAGTGCGAGCAGGACGAACAGGCGACGCAGGACGAGACTCAGGCTCACGACGCTCTGTAAGACCTCCTGTGGGACCAGTGTAAGGAGAGGGAGCAGGGAGAGGCGAGGCAGGCGGTAACTGTGACTGCGGCTGGACAGGCGGAGGACACTCTACGGAGGGAGGAGGACAAGGAGGAGGAGCCTGCCCAAGAACCTGCTGAAGGAGCGGTACGAAGTACGGTCGCGGCCGCGCAGCGTCTCCAGAAGCAGAAGAGACTCCAGCGGCCGGGTCCTCAGGACCAGCAGGAGCTCCAACGTCCGGGTCCCCAGTACCAGCAGCAGCGCCACCGCTCGGGTCCTCAGCTCCAGCAGCAGCTCCACCAGGCGGGTCCGCAGCACTAGCAGCAGCGCCACCCCCAGAGTCGGCAGCTCCAACTCCGCTAGCACCGCCAGCGCCAGAGTCCCCAGCTCCAGCAGCTCCAGTCGCAGTGCTCCCAGAACAACCAGTCCCGGCAGCTCCAGTACCCCCAGTACGAGCACCCCCAGGACGAGCAGCCCCAGCACCCCCAACTCCAGCCGAGCCACTAGGACGGCGAAAGCGCCGGACGTACCAGTCACGAAGCTGCTGCGGTGTGAGAGACTGCTCAGCACCCCGAACCGGAGCACCCCCAGACGCAGTAACCCGAGGCTCCGTAGGCTCAGTAGCAACACCCCCAGGCTCAGTACCCGCAAGCTCAGTACCCGCAGGCTCAGCATCCCCAGTCGCAGCACCCCCAGGCTCAGCACCCCCAGGCGGCAAACTCTCAGGCACAGTACCCTCAGCTCCAGCACCCGCAGTCCCAGCACTCCCAGGCCCCGCACCCGCAGGCTCAGCACCCCCAGGCTCAGCACCCCCAGGCTCCGTACTCTCAGGCACCGTACCCTCAGCTCCAGCACCCTCAGTCCCAGCACCCGCAGCCCCAGCACCCCCAGGCCCAGCACCCCCAGGCTCAGCACCCCCAGGCTCAGCACTCCCAGCAGCACCACCCGCAGCAGCACCTGAGTCACCTGTGACCTCGACAGGCTCAGCGACGGGAGGAGGGTCTACCTGAGAGACACCTGAAGGAGCAGGACCCTGAGGGGGAAGGGGGTCTACCGGAGGGGGACCAGGAGCAAGGAAAAGCGGCGGGGGAGGGAGGGGGGCAGTGCGGTAGGGGAAGAGACGGTAAAAAGGGACCGACTCGTCAAAGGTGACATCCTGAGAGGCGAAGACCCGGCGCGAGGTGGGGTGGTAAAACTGCCAGCCAGGCGCGTCAGGGACAAAGCCAAGGAAGACACAGGGAAGCGTGCGGGAGGAGAGCTTGTCCGCAGACGTATCGCGGACAAGGGCACGAGCACCCCACACCCGGAAGCGCGACGCATCGCCAACCTCCCCCGTCCAACGCAGTGTGGGCGAGGTCTCCGGCAAGGAGACACGGGGCCAGAGGTTGAGCTGATGCGCGGCGTACCGGACAGCAAACGGCCACAGAAAATGGGGAGCCGCCGCGTGGACCAAGGAGGTACGAGCGACCTCCATGACCAGGCCAATGCGGCGCTCAGCAACCCCATTCTGCTGTGGGGAGTCCGGAAGCGTGAAGGTCTGCTCGATGCCCTCCGCCTGACAGAAGGTCCTCAAGAGATCGGAGGAAAACTCACCACCTCTGTCAGAGTGCAGACGCAGGACAGGAAGATCCGTCCGGAAACGGCGGCGGAGCTGGAGACGAACGGTGCGGATCCAAGGGATCAGAACAGCAGGGACCTCACCCTTGGTGCGCAAGGGGAAGACCGTGGTGTAACGCGAGTAGTCGTCGACAACCAGCAAAAAGTACTGCTCACCGCCCTGACCACGAACGCGGGCTGGGCCCCACACGTCCAGGTGGAGGGTCTGCAGAGGAGCCTCTGTCGGGGGGAACGAGGAGGAGTGAGGAGCGGCGCGCTGCCGCCCCTCGACGCAAGGAAGGCAAGGCGGCGCAGGCGAGGCAGGGAGGGGAGGGAGGGACCTGGGAAGACCAGACACAAGGTGGCGACGGTGCATGCCACGAAGGCGTGGCAAGGAGGGGTGACCCAGGCGGTGGTGCCAGAGAAGAGTCTGGTGCGACAGGGAACGACACTCACAGGCGTGGGCTACCAGACCTGACGCAGACACCTGACCGACAGCAGCGACCTGAGGAGACGCAGTGGTCAGTGTGTAGAGACTCGACCCCGGCCGACGGGTAAACGTAGCCAGGTGACGGCCGGTCCTGGAGCACGTGCAGATCGCCACACGCTGTCCTCCAGGGGTAAAGGTGTCAACCCACTGATCCTGGAGGACAGCGTTGCTCACCAGGTTCGTCGAGAACGAGGGGAGGTGGAAACCCGACAACGAGCCAGACGGAACCGCCGGACAAGGGAGGACAGTGGTGGACTGGGCAAGGACTGGGCCCCCAGAGGGGTCAGCCAAGGAGACTGGGACCGGTGCAGGAAGCGGTGTGAGCTCAGTACTGTCACGAAAGAAGCAACGGGAAGCACCTGAGTCAAGGGTGAAGGTGTGACAGGCCTCAGCCAGTGCGGTACCTGAGAGAGCAGTCTCTGTGGGTGCTGTACCTGAGAGAGCAGACTCGAAACCAGCCGGGACAGCACTGGAGGGAGCAAGTACAGGGGGCACCATACCAGAGAGAGCAGACTCACTAGTACCCAGGGCAGCGGGCTCTATACCTGGGTCAGGCGGCACACACAAGTAACAGTCTCCCTCGGCACTAACAGTCAATGCATACATGGCAGCAATAATAGCATCATAGTCAAGAGCAAAGACATCGACACCAGCCCTCATGAGCTCAGCCCAGCGGGGGCGCTCAACATCCGCACCCATCTCCTCACGCCAAGCGTCGTCAAGGCGGGAGAAGCAGCGGTACGGGGTGTGGAACCTCCCACACGTCTGTCCCTTGCGGTCACCTGTGCGAATGACATAAGAACAGCGGCCACTGCCCCCCGACGTCCCACGCTGAGCAAGCCACTCACGAAGCTGCTGGGTCGTCTGGGGACGCTGCTGCTGCTGGGAGCTCTGGCCCGAGCCAGTGCCTCCACTCCGACCTCCGCCGCCACCACTACCACCGCTCCGACCGCCACCGCCGCCACTACTGCCACTGCTTCCTCCGCCGCCCCCGCCTCCACCACCGACCCCACTCCCACCAGCGCTCCCGCCACCGCTCCCTCCAGCACCGCCTCCCCCCCCCCTCCCCCACCTCCTCCCCCCCCCAGCGCCACCACCACCACCCTTGCCCCCCTTGCCCTTGCCGGTGCGGCGCCTCCCACCAGGAGCAGAAGCAGCGCCAACAGACTCAGCACCAAGGAAGTCAACAGCAGCAGCAGCAGTGTAGGAGGGAGCGAGGGGAGAGGGAGAACACCCCTCAAAGATGGGGGTGCGAGGAGCGCCACGAGCAGCACCGACAGCTACAATGCTCTTTTCGGCCGCGAGCAGCTGCTCCTCTAGGAGGGCGACTGTGAGCTCAGTGGGACAGCGAGCAAGGAAGTGGTCTCGAACTGAGCGGAGGGTGTCAGGGAGACGGGTGACTATGAAGTGTAGTGTCCAGTACAGTGGAGGGGGGTTCTTAGCGCAGAACTCGGTGGGAAGGGCGGCACGCAGGCGAGCATCACTAGTGCGAAGGTGGGTGATAAGATCGGCGACTGTAGTAAAGGTGGACAGATCGGGGAACAGGTACGGCAGCATGAGGCGGCTAAGCTCGGCTGTGGCAGGCGAGGAGTAGCGAGCAACGACAGCATCGTACAGGGCCTTAGCGGATTTGCAGTCGCCAAAATGCTCGAGCTCAGCTAGCGGCAGGTGACTGCGAATGGCTAGGCGAGCAGCTGCGTCACGAGTCTGCCAGTGGGAACGAACACTAAGCTCGGCTGTGGCAGCAGGAGCAGCGGCAGCACCAGACGCGTAGTCATAGAGGGAGATGTGGTCCGTGCTATTGCTCATAAGATACAACTGCAGGTCGTCGAGCCAGGAAGTGAACTGCACGGGACGGCCCTCAGCATCGAAGGAAAGAACGCGAATAGAGGCCATAGCTCAGGCGTGAGGGCACAGCAGAGCAGCGGCAGCAGCAGAGGGGACGCGCTAGAGCGAAGATAGCAGCCACAGCAGGAGCAAGCGGCGGTGCACAGGCAGGTAGCAGCAGGCGAGAAGCGCGGCGGGCGACGCAGCAAGCGGGCAGTGAGGCGGGCGGGCCGCGAAGCGGGCAGCGAGCGGGCGGGCGGGCTGCGAAGCGGGCGGGCCGCGAAGCGGGCAGCGAGCGAGCGGGCTGCGAAGCGGGCGGGCCGCGAAGCGGGCAGCGAGCGGGCGGGCGGGCTGCGAAGCGGGCAGCGGGGCGAGCGGGCTGCGAAGCGGGCGGGCCGCGAAGCGGGCAGCGAGCGGGCGGGCGGGCTGCGAAGCGGGCGGGCCGCGAAGCGGGCAGCGAGCGGGCGGGCGGGCTGCGAAGCGGGCGGGCCGCGAAGCGGGCAGCGAGCGGGCGGGCGGGCCGCGAAGCGGGCAGCGGGGCCGCGAAGCGGGCGGGCCGCGAAGCGGGCAGCGAGCGGGCGGGCGGGCTGCGAAGCGGGCGGGCCGCGAAGCGGGCAGCGAGCGAGCGGGCTGCGAAGCGGGCAGCGGGGCGAGCGGGCTGCGAAGGGCGCGCGAGGGCGCTAGTGAGGGGCGCGCGAGGGCGCTAGTGAGGGGCGCGCGAGGGCGCTAACGAGGGGCGCGCGAGGGCGCTAACGAGGGTGCGCGCGAGGGCGCTAACGAGGGGCGCGCGAGGGCGCTAACGAGGGCGCACGAGGGCGCTACGAGGCTAGGGCACGGGGTAGCGTGGTAACCGCATGCGAGCGGTGGTGGGCCCTTAAAAAAAACGGTCGGTAGGTCCTAGGGACCTCCTGCTCTGAATACCATCTCAGAAGAACTAGGCAAGAATGAATGAACTAGCAGAAGTTTGGGTACAAATATGAAACCCTAGTTGGGGTTGTACCCCATATTGGCTACCCCACTACAGCCTACAAGCATAATACAGTTTAACACGAGATTCAATACAGCATTTTCCTAAATACAAACAAGGCATTAAAAAAAAGGAGATATATATACAATCAACATCCCTGAATTATAGTAATAACCTACAAAGTTACCGAGCCCATGGGAGACAAACTCTTAGCAGCAATTTCGTAATAGAACAGCTAAGGACAAACAAGCAACGAAGCACTACAGACAGGCTCACGGGACAAATCAAAGCCAGATGAAACACATAAAAATGTATCCAGACAATAACGATGGCGTCTTCAGCAACACGTACCAAACATATGCAGGAACGCGTGGTTAGGGTCGGCCGATAGTTATGAATCTGCTCTACAAAAACCGGACAACAGTAATTAGTACATGTTCGATAATCCGCGCCGAAAAAAAAGGAAACCATTGACAAGGCGCAACACCAGCCGATCGTCCGTTGAAGAACGTGGCATGGTAGCGGAAAGCTGGGGGTGAAAGAAACAGCATACGGAACATGAGCATTAAAACATTCGGGATTTTGAATTGGACTCGTTCAGCTTCAAGAGACACAACAGCAATGTCTAATAAAAATGACTCACTTCGAAAATTGCCGCTATTGTAATAGACGCTTTAGTGTCTCGAGCGCCAAGTCATAGTGGAATATGAAATACGACTACGAAGGGAAGAGGATACTACAAGAAAGGCGAATGGAAACGTTGGAACTGGAACTCTGATTTGAGAGGGGTGAAGATGAAGTTCAAATGCAGATGGGGGGATAAGGAAGTCTTGGCAGCAATGATGTGATTAGTTTGCTCGTTGAGTGGTGTGAACTTGCTCGACTTTGAGGGCTCAAAGTGATTGGCTGCTCTGGCATTGCTGTCGGAAACAATGAATGTTATGAAATTTGAAAGAACCAATGAAATGCTAACAAATATCAGATGCCGTGTTTTTTCACATCAGTTTTTACCATTTCTCTCGATCACAGGCGCTAGAAATTGCGAACCTCGCGCCCAGCCAAAGCTTCCCATGCTTTTCTTCTGACCGTTCTGTTACAGCACAGACGAGATGCTGTGCCTTGCTGTAAGGACGCGGTGCAGATCGGGCGATCGATCGCCTCAGATCGTCGATCGGGTCGAATCGGATCGGATTGGGTGGGATTGCCCCAATCTGAGGCAATTTGTCGATCTCGTCCCGAGCCGCGCAATCAGACGGAGAATTTCGGAGAAGTAAGTAAGAATCAGCCTCGCGGGCTCGAGGCTATTCACCCGTTTTTTCCCTGCAGAGCTGGCGACATCTGGCGAAAATTTTATATCGCTCAATTAAACGTAGCCCCATATTGGGTTCGTGATTTTACATGCCCCATTATACCGGCGATATCCAATGGTGCTGCGAGCAGTGTCGAATTTCAGCAGGGTGAGTTACCGTTCGCAACTCACGCCACGCCCCGCAATTGTTGGGTGCAAATGCACATTGCACGACATCCTGCCGTCTGTTTGTACGAGTATGCGTGTGCGAATGCATTTGCGTGTGAATGGTGTGTTCGTGTGTTTGTTTGCTTTCGCATTTTTCGCTTGATGCATTTGCAGGTACTCGCGCAATGTGCGCTTTGGCACAACATTGTATGCGCTATGAACAGTGCAAGCAGGAAGGACGAGCTCGCAAAGGAACCCAAGATGGAAGCTTTGCAGTTCGGTTGAGTTGATTGCGCAGATTCAGTTCTATCCAACTCGGAATTGTACTGTTTTGTTTGGTTAACTATAGTGTAGCAGGGAAGGCACTATAGGGGTACAATTTAGGTGAAGGTTGGATGTTGTTTGTCTGTATCTGCATGCTACAAGGCCAGGGGAAACCAGCGGAACCAGCATTTGGCTGGTTGGGCAAAGACAAAACAGGTTCTGTTTTTAGAACCTGAACCTGGTTGTTGTTTTCCCAGGTTGGAAAAACAGAACCAGAGGTTGTTTACCAACCTACCACCTGCTATTTTGTCCAGCCAGGTTGGTTCTGTTGCTTGGAATTATTTGGGATCATCCCTGGTTGTTCCCAGGTTGATTCCCAAGGTCCTTGCTAGCTAGAACTATTTAATCCTTCTCTGTTTGTACCTGAATATAGTCAAATTGATTCAAGCGAATTCCTTCCTCGCTGGAATTTCGTTTCTGCGCTATTCGACGGCGGAATGCTACCCGAGTCAACGCTAGTATGCTAGCACTCCAACGCTAGGCAAACGCTGTCCGAGCCATAACTTAGTAATGGCAGAACTTTTCGCGAGGCAACTTGGCTCATTTTAAAGCTCTTGGAGCGAGCTTCGATATAGCGAATTCTCAGCTTAATCCGACCGACGGTCTGCACGGCACGCTGCGCGACGTTCAAGGTGCTCTTGCTGTTTTGACTAAGTCCTTCTTGATCCCTCTCTCTACAAACTCGGACCCGAGGATAGGGGCTGGTCTTGTACCAGGCACCCAGGGACCCTTGGAGGTGACCCCGAGGAGAGGTTTTAAGTTTGATTAAGTCCTAATAGCTTGAGTTTATTAGGCCCTTACACCAACAGCAATCTGAGGCTATGTATCAATTGCAATCGATTGCATGCGATTGCGTCAGATCGGAGCGATCGATCGCAATCGATCGGGTTTTCGATCGCAATCAACAGATTGCCCCCTATTGCATGTGATTGCTTCAAATCACCCCTGCGGCTTCTTGGAAATAGTGGATTTCCCCAATCTGAGGCTATCGGACTCAGATCGGGCCGATCTGCTCCGCAACCTAATCCTTGCGAATATAAGGCGACCAACGGTACTGGCCGTGAAAATCCAACGCAGTGACAGACAGAGAGCGCAACAGATATACCCTGCCTCTTCACGCTCGATGATGAATTTGGGCGACCAATGAAACGGGTTGGGAATGCTAGCGCCATCTATGCATGGGGAAAGAAAAATGGAAAAGCGGAAAAACGTCGAAGTGGCAAGGAACAGTGCGATAGCCAGCAGAGAACACCTCGATAGCATTATGTTATGATATGTTTAAATTGCTATAATGTTATGGCCACGTATACATTGTTTTTGCTGAAGATAAGAAAACTCAATCACATTGTATGCTATTTTACACTATAAGTCTCATTGTTGTTCCTGTTTCTTTCCAGATGTGGCCTATCCTGACAGTATTTTCCTCGCTCTAATATTAAGAAGGACACATCTTCCTACCATGTGGTCCAATCGGCACCAACTTGTGACGGCGTGCTTGATATGGAGAAACCACACTAGAAACAACACCTGGACATTGAAATGGTATCGTGTGTCGCTCATGCCTATCCTTGCACGCTCTTCCCTACTGAATTGTTTGAAAGAACTACCAAATGGTGCGAATGGTACCAAATTTATCTGGCATGCGTGCAATGTCATGAATGTACATACAAAAGAAGTTGAGCAGCAAACAAACATCAACACATTGAAAAAACATGAGTGCTAACGACGTGTTCCTCTGCGCTCAATTTTGAACCATCATATTGTTGGGTGCAAAATGTAATTTGCATATCAACCTGTCGCCTATTCGTCGAGCAAGGTGAAATTTGAAGGTATTTGTTTTGAGGTGATTTGTATTGTGTGGAATGCGCATTTGCATGCTTTTCATTTGGGCGTTTACGGTTTGTGAATCGCTTCAGCGGTTCATAAGTTATGTATGTCTTTTTTGTGATGTTGCATTCATGGTCTTTCAAGATAGCTTGTGTGTGTTCGCGGACTGTCCGTCTAAGCTTCATGAGCGTTCATGCATTTTCATGTGCGTTCATGTTTGTTCATGACTGTTTATGTTTCGTTCATGAATGTTCTTGTTTTGCCCGTGCATCTTTCATGAGTATTCGAGGTGTTTCTCAAAGTTCCGAGTATTCCGAATGTTCATGGTCTTTCGCGGGGTGTTCATGTTGGGTGCAAATGCACATTGCACGACATCCTGCCGTCTGTTTGTACGAGTATGCGTGTGCGAATGCATTTGGGTGTGAATGGAATGTTCGTATGTTTGTTTGCTTTCGCAATTTTTGCTTGATGCATTTGCAGGTACTCGCGCAATGT